GGTTCAAGGCATTCCCTAGAAAATTGTACATCTCGAAAATGTGCAATTTGCCAAGGTGACCATCATTCTCTTTTACACCCTAATGATAACTCAAAATCGTCAAAAAATGTCGCTCAATCAAGTGGGACAAATTTAGTAAATCAAAATTTAGCCCCTAACGTTAATTCAAATAATAATTCTCAAGAAGTTTCGCAAATTTCATCCGTCACTACTCACTCGAGTCTCTATACAAGAGGAATACAGGTGCTATTAGCAACAGCTAATGTAACAGTTATATCAACAGACGGAACACCTATACAAGCAAAAGCTCTCTTAGATAGTGGAAGCCAAACCTCATTTATATCGCAAGATTTAGTTAACAAACTAAACTACACCCCGTATAAAACAAATATTCACATTTCAGGTGTTTCCAATACACAGGTATTTTTAAAACACATGGTAGATATTGATATTCATTCTAAAATAGAAATAAATAAAAGCTTTAACGTTTCATGTGCAATATTACCAAAAGTTACTTGCTCATTACCTCAATTCACTATTGACAAAAATAATTTACCGATTCCTGAAAATATTAACTTAGCAGACTCCACATTTAATATTACATCGAAAATAGATTTACTATTAGGTTCGGATGTTTATTATGACATTATTCTCCCAGGTATAATTCACTTAGGAAGTAAAATGCCTACTTTGCAAAATACTCATTTTGGTTGGGTTATTGCAGGTCCGGTATTAAATAATTATTATACAAATACCAGTGTTTCTTTGTGCTCACATATTTGTAATTTAAATGACCTCCTACCAAAATTCTGGCAACAGGAGGAAATTGAAAGTAAGCGTATTTTATCTCCAGAAGATGAAAAATGTGAAGAAATATTTAAAAGCACAGCTAAGCATTTAGTAGATGGCTCATTTCAAGTAAATCTGCAACTTCGCAATTCAAATAAATATTTAAAATTAGGTGACCAAAAAATTGTAAGCAAATGGACTGTGAATTTAGTGATTCTACAACTACTACAAAAGATCAAGTCAAAAAAAACTGTTATGCGTATGAAGCACTCACATTACTAATTACTACTAACTAATGCAAAATACCCTATCAAACAAAATTTTACTAATGCAAACCTCCTGCTAGCAAAAGATTTTTTTTGTTAGAAAAAAGATTTGAAAGAGATAAAGGATTGTTCTCTCAATATAAAGCATTTATAGATGAATATATTTCTTTAAATCACGGTAAATATGTACCGTTAGAGATAAAAAATAAAAATTTCTTACCTCACCATTGTGTAATCAGAGAAACATCGGTCACTACTAAACTCAGAGTAGTATTTGATGCTTCAATGAAAACTTTAAGAACTGGTTATTCTTTAAATGATATTATGTTGAAAGGTTTCACAGTTCAACCCGAACTATTTGACATTTTATGTAGATTCAGAACGTTTGAGTTTGTAGCAATAACGGACATAGAGAAAATGTACCGACAAATAAAAATTAATCCATCTCAATTATTTTTACAAAATATATTATGGAGAGATCATCCCAATGAAGAATTAAAATGTATAGAGTTACAAACCGTAACTTACGGTACTAATTCGGCTCCGTACTTAGCAACTAGATGCTTAGTCGAATTAGCAAATCAACATAGGGTTCATTTTCCACTCGCTTCACAAATGATACTCACACAATGTTATGTAGACGACATATTATTCGGTGCCAATGATTTTGAAACATTGGTAAAAGTTAAAAATGAACTTCTAGAAATGTTACAATTAGCAAAATTTAAATTGCACAAATGGTGTTCGAATTCACAGGAATTCTTGAATACGTTTTGTGAAACAAATCAATCTAATATATTTGATATCAAAGCCGATAATGTCTCAAATAAAGTTCTCGGTCTATCATGGAATCCAAATTCGGATAATTTTAAAATTAGCGTGCCATTATTAAATGATGAGTTATCACCCACAAAAAGAAATGTGCTATCACAAATTGCTCAATTATTTGATCCTCTCGGATTTATTGGACCAGTGATAGTCATTGCAAAACTCATTATGCAAAAAATATGGATTCGTAAGTTGGATTGGGACGAAAAACTTTCTACGGAATTACTAAATGAATGGAATACTTTTATCTGTAATACACATCATTTGTCAAATATAGAAATTCCGCGTCATATATTTGCGACAAAGAAAATATTAGAAATACAGATACATGGTTATGCAGATGCTTCTTTGAAGGCTTTCGGTGCGTGTGTGTATTTACGTGCATTATATATTGATGAAACTGTTTCTTGCAACTTAATATGTTCTAAGTCTCGAGTTGCCCCTTTAAAAACCGTTTCTCTACCCAGATTGGAACTATGTGGAGTAGTACTTCTTTCAAAATTAGTAAACAAATTAATGTCTGTATTTTCATTTAAAGTTAACAGTGTTCACTTATGGACTGATTCGCAAATAACTTTATGTTGGTTAAAATCACATCCATCACGATGGACTATTTTTGTCGCTAATAGAGTCGCAGAAGTACAAAACTTAACTTCTAAATATCATTGGAATCATGTTAAATCAAAAGAGAACCCTGCTGATTTATTATCTCGAGGATTAATTCCGAATGAAATAAAACATAATGATATTTGGTGGCATGGCCCTCAGTACTTACATGATTTTTTCTTTAAATTAAAAGGGCATAACGAAGAAAATTTGCTAATATTCAATATAGATGAAATCCCTGAACTAAGAAAAATTACTATGTTAACTACCCCGGTAATGAATGATGCAATATTTTCAAACTTTTCAAATTTTTCACGGTTACAGCGAACTATTGCTTATTGTTTTAGATTTGCTAATAATTCAAAGAAAAATTCAATTAAGAATTACGGATCACTCACGATTGAGGAATTGCAACTTTCTCTTACAGTAATAATTAGAGTTATTCAAAAAACTCATTTTGAAGATGAATTTGAACAACTCAAAGTTAACAAACCTATTTCTAAAAACGCTATCGCTTCATTAAACCCTTGGATTGATGAAAAAGGTTTAATTCGTATAAATGGACGTCTTTCAAATGCAGACATAAGTTTTGAACAAAAATATCCAATATTACTTCCCGCAAAAAACTATGTAGTGAAATTATTACTAAAACGAGAACATATGAAACTATTTCACGCAGGAGCTCATACTGTGTTGTCTAACATTAGATTAAGATATTGGCCAATCAATGGTTTAAGACAAATAAAACACATTATAAAAAACTGTGTGACTTGTCACAGATTTAAAGCGCTGCCAGCAAACCAAATTATGGGTAATTTACCCAAGGACAGAGTTTCAATAGCTAGACCATTTCTTAAAGTTGGAATAGATTTTGGCGGACCTTTATTAATAAAATCATCTAATCTTAGACGTGCTTCGTTCACAAAATGTTATATAGCAATTTTCGTGTGTATGGTAACTAAAGCAATCCACATAGAAATTGTTTCAAGTCTTACAACAGATTCTTTCTTATTAACATTAAAAAGATTTATCGCACGTAGAGGTAATCCATCTGTCATTTACAGTGACAATGCGACAAACTTCGTTGGTGCATATAATCAATTAAATGAATTATACACATTTTTTAAATCTCAACAAATAATTAATGAAATAGAAACGTTTCTGTCTGGTAATGAAATAAAATGGAAATTTATACCCCCTAGAAGTCCACATTGGGGAGGTGTATGGGAAGCAGCTATTAAAAGCGCAAAATTTCATTTAAAACGAATTGTAGGAAATTCGCATTTGACTTTTGAAGAACTCAGTACTGTACTCGCTCAAATTGAAGCGATTTTAAATTCAAGACCAATTTGTGCGCTCTCTACGGATCCTTCTGACTTAAGATGTTTAACCCCAGGTCATTTTTTAATAGGTGACAGTTTGATGTCATACCCGGAGAAGGATATGCTAAATATTCCAGACAACCGTTTAAAATTTTGGCAACGTTGTGTAAAATTACAACAAACATTTTGGAAAAAATGGTCTGTTGATTATCTAAATAGGCTTCAAAATAGACCAAAATGGTATCGATCTAGTGAAAATCTAAAGGTCAATGATATTGTTCTTATAAAAGAAGATAATGTACCTCCACTTAATTGGCCTAAAGCCAGAATTATTGAAGTTTTCCCCGGTTCAGACAAAAAGGTTAGGGTCGTAAAACTTAAAACAAATGAAGGTATAATTACGCGCCCTCTTTCAAAATTGTGTCCTCTTCCTCAAGAATGTTAAATAATAAACATATTTTATTTATATTTATTGTTTTGTTTTTTGAAGTTTTCACTTCAACGCGGGGGAGGATGTTGAGAATTGGAACTGAGTGTACATAGAAATAAAATAATATAAAGAACGTTGGAAACGTAAAAAAAAGATTGAGTTGTTTGTTTTCAGTCTTCGTATGTCTATCTTGTCATTAGTAATATAAAAAAGTCATTTTTCTGTAAAAAAGTTATTTTTCTGTAAACCCCATTCATTAAATAATAAAAACTCGTTATTGTAAATTGAAGAAATCGCATTTTCCCATACAAAATACAGTCCACAAAACCTTATATGTTTTTATAAAACACACGTATTCCAATACTTTTAACATATTATCTACAAACACATTCATATCTCCACTGGGTGATCTGTAACAAGTTAAAATGACGGTTGACAATTTTAAATAGTTTTTCCATACAACCGCACAAATTTCCAAATCTTTTTCCACACAAAACTTTGCTACGTCAATTCTTTTTAAATTCAAATCCGATTTAGAATAGATAGCTACACCCCCCTTATCATAATGACTACGACAAAAGTAGGTAGTCAAACAAAAATTGTCAATCTGTTTTTTATTTATGTCATCCGCCTTACAATGTGTTTCTGATAAACACAAAAAATTGATATTGTGAAAATTTTCAATCTCTATTTCTAACAAGTTTAATGATTGTGTGTTTATGCTTTGCACATTAAGTATAAACATATCGGGATTGAACATTACTTTACTGCAGGTACCTCCCTTTCCCGTTTCCGAAAAAATCGGCTTATATAAGCTCCTTCCGGCCAGATCTGCGGATCCATGGCCTTCTTGAAGTTGTCTTCATAAACTGTCACCTTGAAAGATGCGTAAATGCTTGGTTGCTTTGGTGTTATAGTCTCATACTTTGCTTCAGGAAATGAGTCCCTTAGTAGCTTTTCCAAGTCCGTTGTAGAAGTTTCTGGGGCAATTCTGCACACATGTAGTTGCACATGTTTTCTCACTCCCTTTATGTTAGTTTGCTTGTTGTTACCCACCACCATTTTTCTTGATTTAAATGGTTTCCGTTTATAGGTGACTTCTGCCCATTGCGTGTTTTCCTTATCTGTCGGTTGAGCCTTAGAAGATGCTTGTAAGCTTTTCATCGGAATAGGATTTTCCAAATTAATTATTTCGTTGAATTTAATATCACTCTGTATCTTCAATAGTTCAGCTGATACATTTTTGTGGGTGATATGCTTTTTTACCTCATTGTTTGTATTCGAAACACTGACTTTCGATTTATTTAGTTTTTGCGGCTTTTTATCAACATTGACCTTTATAGTTTTGTTTGCTGTTTGGTTTTGTATTGGAGACACTACGTTTTTTTGTCCTTCTGCTACTTTTTCCATCAAAACAATATGATCGCGTAGCGTTTTAATTTTGTCACGTAATTCATCAATCAAAGTGTCTTTTTGTTTAATGATGTACACGAACATTTTAACATCGAGTTTTTTATCGGGTTGGGGATAAACACTCGCCCATTCCTCCATAGCATCGTAAAAAGCCGTATCACTATCGGAATTTGTCTTTTCACAACATATTATAAAATTTTTGTCCTCCATAAATTTTACATTTGGAGAAAGTTTTGCACAACTGTTGTGATAACTACTATCACAGTTTTTACATTTTACACCATTAATTAGCTTAGATTTACAGCGTTTGCACGAGCTATTTAAATTCGCGTCCACTGCGTTCAACATCGCGATCGCGAAATTAATGGAATATGATACGGGTATAACAGAAAATCGTGAAAAATTCTCCAAACTAGAATGTACGAGATATTCAAGTTATTTCCAATTTGTCTAGTGCTAATATTAGGATTTTCATCAATTTAATTTAAAACTGCGTCTTCAACTTCTGGAGTTCTAGTAGTCCGATGGGCACCTTTTAATTGATTATTTGGCTTAAAAGTACCTGTTTCAGCCAACGTTCTATGTATGTTTGAGAATGTTCGTCTATCTGGTGTGACTCTATTCGGGAAACGCTCTTGATATAATCGTTTAGCCTCTGGCGCTCTGCCATCAGCCAAGCCATACATGTAATGAATGTCTGCCAACTCTTGATTAGTAAACTCAACCATTATCAAATAACACTGTACAGGTATTTTAAGTATCAAAATTGAGTTGAATGAACTGAACTGTCAAAATTAATAAATCACAACAGTAATCAACAACCACAGCCTACTAGGTAATCTTTATATCATGCTTTCTGTTTGGCTCAATGTGGGTTAGTATGTTGTTCTTTATTTTTTTACTAAAAAACAGTGCAAGATAAGAAAAAAACTCAAGAGATCTTTTTTATTACAAAATAAAGCACCATTTATACAATAATTTTTGTTTTTCAAAAATGCAGTGGCGTATCATTTTTTTCATTCAAAATAATGAGGTTGAAGTTAATTGGGACGCCACTGGTTAAANAAAACCAGTGATGTATTTGGGATTGCAGTCAACAGTGCTAAGGGCTAATGTAATAAGAACACTCTGTGTTGTTGTCAAGCTTTCGGAAATGTTTATTTCCTTTCTCAAGACATAAACGTGAGATTATAATATAAAAACCATCAAAAACGAAGTATACAAGAACATTGTTAGTGAAGCTCATAAAATTTTAACAATGTTCTTGTATACTTCGTTTTTGATGGTTTTTATATTATAATCTCACGTTTATGTCTTGAGAAAGGAAATAAACATTTCCGAAAGCTTGACAACACAGAGTGTTCTTATTACATTAGCCCTTAGCACTGTTGACTGCAATCCCAAATACATCACTGGTTTATATATATATAATACTTACAGTAACATCGCAGTCAACACCTGTGTATCCTGATCGACAAAGACAAGTATAATTTTTATATCCAGGTTCATCTTTACACATAGCACGTGTCGGACAGGTATCATTTCCACAATCCGACTGTTCATCTTGGCAGTTAATTCCAGAATAACCAGGTGCACAATGACATTTGTAACCCTGAGGTAAATCTACACAAGTTCCACCATTATAACATGGTTGTGATGAACACTCATCAATATCAATTTCACATCTTCGACCGGAAAATCCAGCAGGGCAAAAGCAATGAATTCCATGACCCATTGGTACACACAGACCCCCATGTTGACAAGCATTATCTTTACATTGAACAGGATGGCATTCATCGCGACCAGTTGCACCTGGTCCTTCTGTTATCATGTTTCCAGGACATTCATTACATATAGTTTGTCCTGATAATGATTGATAAAAGTCTTTGGGACACAGAGAACAAGGGTACAAACCAGTTGGTGAATAATATCCAGGATTACATTTTGATTTGCATTTATCTTTATTTGCTGCTGATGGTTGATAAGTGAAAGTATTAGCTGGACAAGCCTGACAATCTTTGAAACCACTTGTGGGAGGTTCATCAGTATAACTATTTTTTGGACATTCTAGGCACGGTACTAAACCAGTTGGAGAATATGTTCCATAACCACATACAGGTACACAATCATGTATACTTTTAGAACCTTCTTCTCGAGTATATGTTCCTTGAGGACATTTATTACATGACCCTTGACGCTCATGATTTTGGTAAAATCCTCTTGGGCAGTAAGAACATTCTTTTTTATTTTTACCAGTAAATGTGCCAGCAGGACAGTGTACTAAAATTTAATGTTAATTAATATTTTCATAACAAGTTACTGATTGTTACTTACAACATCTGGGTACATCATTAGTATCCATATTTAAAACTTCTCCAACATTACAAGTAAATCCTCTATTATTTACAGATTTTAAGGCTCTTAATGGCGGACATTGATTTCCAATAGAAGACACATTTAAAAGTGGTTCAATAACCGCACTTGCGTAAGGAACTGACAAATCAAACATTAAACTTAAAGTACTACCACACAAGTCATATAGCTGAGGTTGGCGCACTATTGGTACTATATCTAAAATATAATCTACCTTGACGACATTTTCTTCAATCAGTGATGGATTGGCTTTTATAAAAGATACATTCATTTTTACATTAACTGCTGAACATCTTTCCGAAAGCACAGTATTTAAATTAGTATAGTGCTGTGATATTAACTCTGTATATTGATTAAGACAAGATGTAGCGACAGCTCCATTTGCCCTATAATTCAATGATGCTGTGAGATGGTAGTCTGCTTGTTGTGTATCTGAAAATAATCAAATTAATATATATTATTTGTTCAAATTAAATTACAAACATTTTTATTGCAGTAAAAGTAATTTACTCATGTCTTATTTGATCATAAAAAGAAACCTTTATCCCGTGCAAATAAACAGTGACGTAAATGCCAAACAAATAAAAAGATCATTAAAAAATGTATTTCATTGTTTTTTGCTTCTATTTATGTGTCCATTAAATTAATTGAAAATATAAAATAAATAATAAAACCTCAAGTATTATTAATTTTTATTTATGCTTTTTTATAGTGTAATAAATATCTTTTCTTTCTAACATTTATTAATATTTTGTCAAATAATGTAATTTTGGATTGAAATATTTTCAGTAAATCAGGAGCAATTTGCACTGTACCTGTATTTTTTAAAATTAACTATATTTGTCGGGAGAAAAAATAATTAGATATAGTACACTCTAATTAACATGTAATGCCTTAAATGTAATATAAGCCTTTAAGAACCTGCAACTAGATTTTGGGCGATTAAAGTGCCTTCCAAAGGTGAAGGTTGAGAAAATGTATTAGGAAATCCAAAGAAAACATTTTCAAATCCAAAGAAAACTTTTTCAAAGATTCTCCAGCCAGACATACAGAAATACATTAATAATGGCCAATATTATGACTAATAAAGCACTATATATATATTAAAAATGCCCGCCACATGGAATAATTATATAGGTGAGTATAATATGTACTTTACGATGATAGATAGATATGCTGAGGCAGATTTGCTTTTCGGATACATTTATATGCAATAGACACACTATTTTTAATGAATTCAGAAGATAGTGGAGTGTTTATTCTGAATGAGAGCTAATATTAAATTCTGATAATGTGGGAGAACATTTCTAAGAAACTACAAAAACTAGATAGGTATACTTTAAATGTATTAACCTTTACTTCCTAAATACAGCATTCCATCAAGAAGCCCATTAATGCCCCGAAGAAAATATATTTTATTGTATCTTGTAGTTTTGTGATTAAAATAATTTAGTTATTGATATGACAAAAACAGACTGACACCAAATTTTACTAAGCCAGACGGTTCACTATTTTTTACATTGCTCAGTAATTTTAAAATATATATACCTATCACGTACTACTCTGCTACGACAAGACAGATCTCAGAAGATATCTTTTACATGTAGACTTTTGCAGCTCACTACTAGCAAATTATCAACAATACTAAAACATCTCTGCTACAATTTTCTTCTCAGACTATTTTCATCCGCAATAGAATTTTAAATTATGGATGAAATATAACCCGTACTCAAAACATGTTGATTGGATCTACCTAAACGTTATGTCTGTCTCATCCGTGATATACTGAAGAGAACTAATAAGTTTGAAATATGTTTCTGTTTGGTGATTCTACTAATGATGCATGATCTTAATGTATACTAGATTTACAGTTCTGATCCAGTAAATTCAGCGCAGCTTTTTTGTAATTAATTATTGAGTTATGTAGGTCACTTATATTGTTGAGTATGTATTTCTAAAAAGTAACGTGTATACAGGGTGTCCCAGTGTCGGCGTACAAAAATTTACCCTACCCCCTGGTAAATTTTCCAGAACGCTGGATTGAGAAAATGAACCTATTATGTGGCCTCTCAGGTTCCCTGACCTTAACTCACTTGATTTTTTTACTGGGCTCATATGAAGCAACTGGTGTATTCTAAACCCAGTAACACAAGAGACGGTTTACTTCAAAAAATTAATGTAGCCGCCGAGCAAATTCAAGCAACCCTTGATTTCTATTTTTTTTATATTGTCATTTTGCCGACATAATTTCGTTTCTGTTCCATAATTTTTAATTTTATTTTTAGTTCCCCTATATGTACCTAACTAAATATTGAATAATTCATAGAAAACTTGTTTAGTTACTTCATATTCATTGAGCCGCAGCTACATGGGAAACTGTGCCTTAACGGTAAACAACTTTGTTATTGATAATGACAGGTACCTACTAGAGATAACAAGAAATAAAATCTATAGATGCATTTTTCTACGAACTAATGCAGTCGATACTTTAGACCTAATTTACTCGAAAACGGTTCATTTTTGAGCTATGAAACAAGAGCCCATTTTTTGTTCAGAATCGATTGCAGATTTAGGAAAACTTAATCAAGTTACATAAAACTAGGATATGCAAAAGTTATGAAGGCATAACCTTGAGGACAGGTTTGCCTAGGCTGCCCCTGGGCGTCAGGTTGAAGTAAGCACCATGTAGTTTTAATGACCTTTAATAGGTGTACATTTCACGCAAAAATTACTTATATTCCTGAAAGGGTTTTGAGTTATTGCGGAAAGTTGTTATTATTTTTTTCTAAACAACACCCTGTAACTTAGTGGGAGTGCAACGCAGAAAAATATTTTATATGAATTTTAACCTTATTTTGGTCTGGTCTACCCCCTGGTAAATTTTTATACGCCAACACTGGGACACCCTGTATATTAAATATGTCGGTAGTGAGCCGTTTGAAATTAAATCATAGGGAGATGTCTTAGAGCCAAGATATAGTAACCAACGGACTCTAATAAAATGGGAGTTTATTCAAATTCCCCAAAATGTGCGTTGTACTAATTTTTAACATCATTTCTCCATTTATGTTTGGCTGGTGATTGTGTACTATTTTTTATTAACATTTTGTGTTGCTAAATCGTCTGATTGAAAAACATTATTCGAACTTATTTTAAAAGTTCTCTGCTCATTAGTGGAAAATTGGGATTTGTCTCATTAAAAACTGTAAATGTTCTGCATACAATCCTATTGCAACGTCTGTGAATATATAATAATAAATAACTGATGACAGTTTAGTTGTTTGTTTTGAAGTTTTGCTAAAAATTCCACAGATATCTTCGCAAAAAATTACATGATTTTAGGCAGTGGCGGCGCGTGAACATTGATTGAATGTATTCTGCTTAGGGTTGTTACATTTGTTGAATTGAATTCGGGAATATTAAGTGCGCGGAGTCTCTAAATGGCGCCGCAGGCGAAAAATTTTAAAATTTTCAAGGTCACGCGTTTTCCTGGCATTTCTGAATTTCAAGGAACAATCCATTTATACAAAAATACAGATTTTCACAAGAACGATTTTTGAAATTGATACCTTTTTGAAACATCTATTCACGAATTACCTACTGACGGTATAAATAAATTGGAATAAACTAAATATATTTTATTAAATTAGGTATTGAATATTGTTTATAAACAAAAAAATTGTTTGTGAAGTTTACCAACGATTCAACGAATTTTAATGTTCCTCGCCGTGTTATGATTTTTTTATATTTTTTTTATATATATATACATATATTATATTCCGAGAGTTATACGCGCAAATCCGAAATCCGGGACCATACAGCTAATTCCCGGTACAATCACAGAAAATCCCGGTCATACCCATGTAGATGTTCTTTTAATATGTCGTCAAGATCTGCACTAAAATTTATAAGTCCACGAAACCCATCAAGGTTCTCCGGTTGTCTCGTCGTATCCGCGAAGTGCTAATTCGAAAGATCCGAAAATTTTATGCAATCTATGATTTTAGACAATACATAACAATTTTTCGTTACCTGTTCATTGTGTTTCCATATATTATCCCAATATGCAGAATCTAACTGATTTCTTATGTTTATTTTACCTAATGACTTAAATGAGTTAAATCTTTCACACTATATTGTCCATGCTTTAACCCCACCGAAAAGTAAGCAACAGTGTATTTTTTATCACACCCGCACACCCGCTCTGCTTTTGTGTACACATTATTGTTAAATTGTCTTTTATAACTTTTATTTCGGCTTGTTCCACTAACTTCAATATTTAATAGTGGTGATGGCCCACCTAATTCTTTTATTTTTAGTTATATCCTAATAAGGCAGAGAACCAAATAAAGTTTTTTGTAAAAACGAAACGTAACTATAATATCCGTAGATGCCTAAACGAAAATATTCACACGTGCCGCTCGCAGAAATAAACCACCACATACCACGTACGAAATATTACTGCATTTACTGCAGCAGTGGCTGTCGTTACAGCCACAAAAGCCCATATAAAAGTGTACTGGATGACGTGCCTGATTAGCCAATAGAAACAAAGAACGCATCTAACTGTTCGCTGTGCACACATTTTGTATATGAGGTTGCATATATTAAGGAGCGTAGCTCGCGTCACAATAAATAATAATATAAGCTCCTAGATTTATTTTAGCGCGAGTACAATTGGATTCTTTAAATATTTTGTTGATATTTATTATGATTAAATACATAAAATGTTATGTGTTCTGCAGCTCCGCAGCTCTTATGGTAAAACCGCCACTGATTTTAGGTGATTACACAAAAAATAGTAGATAACTTAAAAACTAGGAGAGATAGATATAGGGAATCCTGATATCGTTCGAAAGAGACTGTGTATCAGAATATATAAAAACACACAGGGTGTTCCATTTTAAAAAAGAGACTTATGCAGGTTAGAAGTTAACTAAACTCGGCAATAAATTTCTAGCACCCTGTATACAATTAAGCCACTTTGAAAGTATGGATGGGAAGCTTAGGGGTCTAGCTATCCCGCCTATAAATATTGTTGCTTTATCTTTCTTATTATAAAATACACATGGTTTGAAGCTAGTCACTTTTTCTCACCATTTTTTTGAAAAAAATAAAATATCTCGAAAACGGTTAATTTTAGGAATAGGGAAACTTCATAAAAGTCCACCGAAAATAACACGTGAAATCCAAAATTCCAATAATATATAGGGTGTTCCATTTAAAATAAGTTGATGACGACTTCCCGTATAACCGGAAGTGGTACGTGGACGCCATTATTTTAGTTGAGAAGGGCTTGCCCGAAAACCCGGTGTCCCAAATTTTCAAAATTCAAATCGGAGTAGTCGTTGAAATAATTGTAATGTGCCGCCACCGTAAGACACCCTGTATACAGTGTGTTTCACTTAAAGTCGGAACACCTCCGGAT